AAAGTACTCTCCAAACCGCAATTAATTTTGTATTAATTTCAATACAACAAATATATTACTGAGCGCCGATATACTTTCCCTTGAATTATTTTGCCGTCCGTAATGTCGTGTATTCACGCATAAAACGTCATCTGCTGCGTATAATGCGCCACAGTCGAAAATTGTTGGTGCCGACAAATATTTTCTTGCGCGATGTAGGTCGAATTTACAGGCTTGAAACGGGTAAGTAGTCCATCACGAAATTGCTTCAACGTGGCTTCGCACTGTAGATGTTGACTATTGTTAAAGATCCATTCGAGAGACGATCCACGCATGAGCGTCGCTGCGAGCTGAACCATTTTGTTGTCATGAGTCGTCGTTGTCCATCCAATCGCCGCAAAATGAATTTCGATGGCTCCGATCCATCGACGAACGTCACACGATCTGTCACTGGGGTCGAACGGTTCAGGTGTGCGAAAAAGAGGAGCCTCAGGTTGGCTCGTTGATGAATGCTGCGATGTCGTCGCTGGTGTTTGGCGTGCTTGAGCGAGTTTGCCACGTAACTGTGCGATCTCCTCTAAAAGCAGGTTCTGTTATGCTTCCTACGCCCAGGTCGGCATCGAAAAATTACACGAGGGACTAGCTGCAAAAAGCGGATTCCGTACTTACTTGCTGGCCTCGGCTTGAACTGGCTCGCCCGTGCGGTTTTCGCAGCCCCGGTCGCTAAAAGTGGTTTAGGCTCTGATTACCAGGTGTCACAAGATTGAATGCGTTATGCATAGTGCGGAAGAGAATGTCAAATAAAGAATGAATATTGAATCACAATCCCGAGGAACAACACAATTTAAAGGCGAGCACTCACGAGGTCCTCCGAGCGAGGCGCAAGTCTAGCTAAAATGTGAATGTTCCAGAAAGGAACCATTTCCCTCTTGTAACAACTAGTCTAGAAGCACTAGAGGATTCACCGAAATTTGGTGAACACTCAGTGCACGCAACAGTAAATATAGATAACACATACACTGATAACCAAGAATAATCCAAATAGCAACTTTGGATAACATTATTCGAGTGATTAAAAAGAGTTTTTTAGGTAATCAATAGTGTTATAGAAAATAGAGAAATAGTCCTTTCTCCTAGGAAACCTAACCTGTTCTCACAACCGGGTTCTTTAGTGATGCGTCTGCGTTCCATTGGGTTGCCTTGCTCACGTTCGTGCTTCTGGCACGGAGAAGCTCACTGCCCGTCCAGTTGGAACTGTATGGGTGGCACCGGTGTTGAAGAGGGTTCTCGCTCTGGGGGTGTAAGCGCGGAGTGTCTTGGAGGTAGCCGTGGTGTCGCTGGAGGTTCTGGTCTTGGTGCGGAGCAGCAGCAGCAACAGCAGTCACCACCGGTGTCCGCCCTTCGCCTCCTTAGTCTTCCCTCCCCAGACCACCCGCCTGCGCCTCCCCCACCGCTGCCTCCCCTGCCCGTCTACGGCCATGTTTTTCGTCGCCAGATTTGTCTCCGGCTCAATTCCCCCCTCGTTCTCCTCCTATGTCTCCTCCAATGTCTCCTGACCAGACGCTGCCGTCCCATTTCTGGTCTCGCCGTCCCTCTCATGCTCGTCCTGTCTCTTCTGTTCAGCACTCTCACCCTTTGTTAATCCGTTCCCACGCGTCTCGTCCTCCCCTCCTCCCGTTCCCTCCTCTGTTGTCGCTTATTGTGCTCCGCCTCCTCTATCTCACTACCTTCGTGTCACTAGTCCTCCTGTTCCTCAGGTCCTAGCCTCCTTCGTTACCGACCCGTCTATTCCGATCTCGAGTCTTGACGCTCTTGTCGCTGCTGTCGCTGACTTCGCCACTACCCGCCTCCTTGATTACGCCACAACTCTGGTCTCTGACCCTGCCCGTCCTCCGTCCGTCGGTGGTGTTTCTGCCCTTGGCAGTGACGTCCAGGAGGACCAGCAGTACGAGCTCGTTTTCCAGTCCGAGGCTGCTCCTCATCTCAGCTCCATGCTTCTAGTCCCTGAGGGTGACCCAGACGCCCTTGACATCCCGACCCCTTGCACTTACGCTGAGGTGACCTCGGGACCCTGAGCCTCTCACTGGATAGCTGCCATGGATGCGGAGATGGCATCTTGGAGATCTAGCGGCACCTACGTTAACGCAGTTCCCGCACCTGCGGTGAACGTAGTCGATGGCCGATGGCTCTTCAAAGTGAAGCGCCCTCCCGGAGAGCCGCCGGTGTTCAAGGCGCGCTACGTAGCTAGAGGCTTCAGTTAGCGCGAGGGTGTTGACTTCTTTCAGACCTTCGCTTCGACCCCGAAGATGACCACTCTTCGGGCGCTGCTATACGTATAGAAGCACAGCGTAACAACAAGCTGCACTCCCTCGACTTATCCACAGCGTTTCTCCAGGGCAGTCAGCACAAGCATGTCTACATGCGTCGTCCGCCAGGCTTCAGCGGCACCTTCGCCCCGGGGACCCAGTGGCTCCTCTGGCGCCTGGTTTACGCCTGCGGCAGGCGCCGCGAGAGTGGTATAACACGTTGTGTGCTACGTTAGCTGAACTGCAGATCTTCCCGTCGTCTGCATACCCTCCGCTCTTCGTTTGTGCTGGCTAGACCCCATTTTATATCCTTGTCTACGTAGATGACCTGGTGTTTTCTACTGGAAACAGAGATGCACCGGCCTCCATGAAGGCTGAGCTGCTGACGAGACACACCTACACTGACCTCGGAGAGTTGCGCCGCTACCTTGGCATGCAGACCTCCAGGGGCAAAGCACCGCGCACCATCACTCTTACACAGTCCCACTTGGTGCGTCAGGTCCTTCAGAGGTTCGGTCTTCAGTTCTCCTCCGCACAACCCACACCTCTGCTAGTAGATCACATGCTCTCGGCTCCAGTCCCTAAGGACTCTGTAGAGCCTAGTGGTCCTTACGCAGAATTAGTGGGTTACCTCATGTACCTGATGACTTGCACTCGTTCAGATCTCACATACCCCTTAGCATCTTGGCTCGCTTTGTGGCCACAGGCAGACACCGACCACAGTATCGGTCGGCCGCTAAGAGGGTTTTGCGTTATCAAGCAAGCACATCGGGCATGCGGCTAGTGCTAGGAGGACGCAGGCCAGTGGTCCTTACAGGGCACACAGACGCTTCTTCGGCAGACGATGCTGAGACGCTCAGGTCTTCCCAGGGCTGTTACTTTAGCCTTGGTGCAGGCGCTATCTCGTGGAGGTCCACCCGTTCGTCGTCTGTTGCCCAGTCTAGCTGTGAGGCTAAGATCTACGCCGGTACCATGGCAGTACAGGAGCTCCGCTGGCTAACTTTCTTGCCCACAGACTTAGGTGAGCGACCTAGTTCTGCTTCGGTCCTGTACGCTGACAATAGGGCCATAATGCTTTTGTGTTATGAGCCTCGACTGGAGGGTAGAGCGAAGCACACCCAGCTGCGGTACTTCCTTCTGGGCAAGCTACAACAGCACCGCCAGGCACGCGTAATACACTTGGCCTCAAGTGCCAACACAGCTGATATCTTTACGATTGCTCTTGCGCCTAAAGATTATGAGCGGCATTGTGTACAGCTTGGTCTAGTTCCTGTAGCTGCTCACTTCCGTCCTCCTTTCTTGACCTCCACATTTCCATCCCAAGCCGCGTTGAATGTGTACCGCGGTCGGCAGTTGTAAATCCTCTTTTCTCAAGATGCTGCACTTTGAGACCCTCGTAATCGAGCAGCTGGCATCAAATTGCCAAATGCTCGTGAAGGATAACAACTAGGCAGGGCTGGGGGCCTCTCAGAACCTGGCAGTGCAAACCTGTCAAGTTCTTTGAGGGAAAAGATGGGAGAGGCTGGGTGGGGGGTAGAAACCTGAATTTGTATTTTGCAGTGTGGATGGGAATCGCGAAACAAAAATGTGATTTGTACTTTTGGGTCTCACTGTACCGAACTGTATACACCTAACCCACGGTATTTTCACACCTAGTATTTTCACACCCTATATCGCGTAGTGGGGCGGTCAAGCTTCAACAGTTCGGGGCGCACTGAAATGGGCGGCCCCAGGCCCGCGAGAGAAAGTATCATCTGATTAGGCTCGGAATTGGTGACGACCTATTGATTTTTGTGGCTCTGCGCACAGGAGCGCGTTATTAGGGGGGAGTAGAAACGAAACTCGCTTCGGGAAGCACCGACGGTACTGTAGAGCTGCCATATCGGAGTTGACCAATTCAAATGAAATCAGCATCATGCCTTCTAATTGGCTCGATCAAAATACACCCAATGAACGCACGAAATTTGGGCGGTGCATTGAAATTCCAATCCAGCGCGACATTTTGACCAGGGGAGCCTCGGTTGCGACAGCGTGGCACCTTTTTGGTTCGGTGGATTACCCCTGTGAAGATACTGGGGCGTTTCGCGCCAAACGTTTGCTATCCATTTTCAGGGTGTGAAACTACCGCGGGTTAGGTGTATGCGTCAAACAACATCCGATTTGTTTTTCCGAAATCGGTCAGGTCAAAGGGCTGGTTGTGATCGAAACAGCCAACCAGTTCTCGCCCTGCAAACTTGGCAGAGGTGGCGAGGTGGCTCTCTGCCAGATTGTGAGCTGCAAAAATGGCAAGCCCTGCCAAGTTTCCAGCCCGGCTAGCTCGCGCGAAACAGACGCGGACTCTGCGAAGCCCATTCTCAGCCTATTTCGTTTCCATTATCTTTCGTCATCCAATCAGGTTCTGCCGCCCCACCTACCTAAACAGTACAAATATGCAACCCGCCGGGCGGGCTTTTACGGTGATCTCTGTGCCATAATAGATGGGAAGTGCCAGGATTGTCACAAGTGAAACATCGCACAAAGAGAAGGATCCGGACAAAACACGCGTTCAGCAGGATTCGAACCTGCGCGGGCAGAGCCCAACAGATTTCGAGTCTGTCCCGTTAACCACTCCGGCATGAACGCTTGGTTATTCGAATTCATAATGATTATAAGTCTAAAAATATTTAGTCAACGTCCGTTGATCATTGGGCAGCCCTTGACCGTTTAGCTCCTCGTTGTCCTCCGCCAACCAGCATGGCGCACGTCGCGTCTCTCAGCGCTGTGGGCTCCCGCCTGTCTCGTCTGCCTCTTCCTCGCCTCGCCTCCTCGCTCGCCGCATTCCCCGCCGCCAGCATCTCTGCTCCTGGCCTCGCCTCGTCCCGCCACAATGAGCGCGTCTCTCGCCGTGCATTCGCCCGCATGGCGCCAGCCGTCACGGCGTCCGCGGCGGCACCGCGGGTGGCGGCGGAGGCGGGTCCTTCGGTGCCCGTGGCAGACCTGCTCGCGGCGGCGGAGGCTGCAGCGAACAAGGGCGCTGCGGTCAGTGGGGCCGGGGAGTGGGTGGCGTGAGATGCGATGCGCGTGGCGGTGGTGGGCAAGCTGACTGGTTGCTGTGGTGGGGTGTGCGCGCAGGTGATCATGGCGGCCCTGGACAAGCCCCGCGACATCACGTACAAGGGCGCCACGGACCTCGTCACCAAGTCAGTGCCACTCCCGCCATCACCCCCGCCCTGCCGCCGAATGCTCTGCCCTCACCCGCTTCACACTCCCACGTTGCCACGCCATGCCCCACATTCCCCGCCCCTCCTCACTCCCCGCCAACCCCCTTCCGCCCTTCTCCTTTGCGCCGTACCTGGCTCCGAAACCCGCCCTAAACCCTGCGCGGTGAGGGTTCATCAATAACAGCTGCGCTGTAACCCTTCCTTCAAACTACAGCCCGTGACCCTCTCCCAAACCCCCCACCCGGCCGTGGGCGGTGCAGCACGGACCGCGAGAGCGAGGCGGCGGTGGTGGCGGAGATCCTGAGGCGCTTCCCGTCGCACCTGCTGCTGGGCGAGGAGGGCGGGGTCACTGGCGACGCCTCCTCGCCCTTCCTCTGGTGTGTCGACCCCCTCGGTGCGTCGCAGCTCGCCACGTGGCAGCAATGCACACCTGGCAGTTTTGATCAAGCGTGCATGCAGTTGTATCTTATTTCCACCCTTCCCATCCATAATCCGGCTCCACTCCGCCCACCCGCCCTCCCGCCCACCCGCCGCGCTTCCCCCAGACGGCACAACCAACTTCGCCCACGGGTACCCATCCTTCGCCACGTCTGTCGCGGTGCTCTTCCGCGGCAAACCCGTCGCCGCCTGCGTCGTAAGCCACGCCCCCTCGCCCCCCTGCTGCCGCCTGCTCTCACATCCCCACCCCCCTCGTGCTCCCACCTCCCTTGCCCTTGCAGCCGTCCGTGTCCGCTCCCCCTCCCCCTCTCATCCACTCCTTGCATTCCACGGCCGGCCACTCCCCCTGGATATGCAAAGTGCGAGCAGGCAGCAGCATGGGCGGCAAAGCGTGTAGCAGAGATAGTGTGGGTGCACTGGTTGTTGGGTCGTCACATGCAGGGGCGATGGCCGTCAGGCGCAGCAAAGGCCAGCGAGCGACCATGGTGTAGTGAGGGGGCACGCGGTGGGGCAGGGAAGTGGGTGCATGGGGGAGTCGCGCTGTGCCTTCCCTTGGGCAGCCACTGCCATGGGGCGTGGAGCAGCGCGGGTAGGAAAGCGAGTGGGGTTTATTGGGGGCGTGGCCGAGGCTGAGGTACCTGACAACACGGCATGGAGGGGCGGAGGAACTTGCATTGTGCGTTCGTGTGCTGTGCTTCTTCTGTGCCAGGCGCTCATGGCACCGCACCTCGCGGTGCCCACCATAGGTTGAGGGTTGTGCCCATGTGCTGTGACTGCTGTTTGGTGGGGGGGAATGGGTGGCTGTATGTGTGCTAGCAGTGGGAAGCCCAAATGCCCTTGAGCTTGGCCCTGGCGTGCACCGGCTGCGCAAGCAGTCCTAGCTAATGATCAGCACGAGAGATACATTCATGGCAATGCAAACCTAGAAACTTCCTTGGGCCGAGCCCCCCTCTAGGGGATCTCCAGCGCGGCACCTGCTGCACCGGCTGCACCGGCTGCACCTGCTGCACCTGCAACAAGGTGTGCCATTGGGACCAGCATGAGAGCGCCATTCCTGTACCCGCGAGGACCGACTGACTAAGTCACAGCCGCTTGTTGCACAAGGAACAGTGCGGTGGCCTTGTGTCACCGTGCAGCACAGCACAGGTGGCCACCAGCTGTGCGTAGCTAGCTGCCATCCGCAGTGCTGCAGAGAGCGGCACTGCTTCACACGGCTTCTGACGTCCTGCTATCCTGGTTTGCTAACTTGGTGTAACCGCTTTGCCGTGTACCATGTGTGGTGTTCCCCCGGCGTCCACCAGGTGGAGTTCGCAGGAGGGCCGCACTGCTGGGTCACTCGCACCTTCACTGCCTCTGCAGGTGAAGCTGCTGCTGCTAGCCATGCCCTATGATGCCATGGTCAGCTGTGACGTCATGATGCTCCATGCCACCTATACCTTTGCACCTGCACCACAAGTGGCAGAGGGAAATAGGCATGAATGTCACCAATGTCACCCATCCCACCCATGTCGCCCATGTCGCCCATTTCGCCCATGTCACCCATGTCGCCCATGCCACCCATGTCGCCCATGCCACCCATGTCGCCCATGCCACCCATGTCGCCCATGCCACCCATGTCGCCCATGCCACCCATGTCGCCCATGCCACCCATGTCGTCCATGCCACCCATGTCGCCCATGCCACCCATGCCACCCATGCCACCCATGCCACCCATGTCACCCGTGTCGGTGTCGCCTATGTCGCCCATGTCATCTCTCCTCCACACACCCCTCTTGCCATCATCACCGTGCATGCCATGTGTGCCAGGCGGAGGAGCGTTCTGCAACGGGCATCGCATCCATGCCAGCACCACGGACAAGGTGCTCTGCCTGCCTCCCCCTCTCTGGCCCCTCCATCCCGCCGCTTTGTGTGCTGCACTCTGCACATGCCTTTCGCCATCGCGCCACATATCATCAGCGCAGCAGGCTCACGGCAGCACCACTGTGCGCTGCCCGTGGCCCATGCTCTGCTTGCGCCCACCCCGTGCCATGCTCAGTCAAGTGACTGCCATGGCAGCGACTGCCCCGTGCTCCTCTTGCACTACATCTATCCGTGGATCCTCTTGTCCCTTCTTCCACCTCTCTGCCTCCGCATCCCCATTTTCCAGCTCCCAGTTCTCTCCCTGGCCAAGCCATTTCCGACCGCAAGCCACTTCCCCGTGGACCATGCGAGTGGTCCATGTGTTGTGTGTTGCTCTCTTCACTGCCGCCTGCTTCTGCTGTGCCCTCGTGTGTGAGTGGGTGCAGGTGGAGCGGGCGCTGCTGGTGACGGGGTTTGGGTACGAGCACGATGCCGCATGGGCCGCTAACATCGACCTCTTCAAGCACTTCACTGACGTCAGCAGGGTATGCCGGGCTGTACTGTGCTGTCAAGCCGTGATATGTTCATTATGTGTTGCATGCAGCCACGCAATGGTTGGCTGTGTTCCTAGTCAGAAGCAGTCTCAGCCACACCCACCTTGGAACTCCCTCCTCTCGCCTGTCCTCCGTGCATGCGTCTTTTCTCGCGTGCGATTGTTGACACGCCGGCATCTTGCCATGCTGCCTTGCCCTCTGCCCGCCAGGGAGTGCGGCGCCTGGGAGCGGCGGCGGTGGACATGTGCCATGTGGCGCTGGGCGTGGTGGACGCCTTCTGGGAGTTCCGCCTCAAGCCCTGGGACATGGCTGCTGGCGTCCTCGTACGCGCCCTCAACCCCCCAACCCCCCTCTCACCCACTTGCCTCAAATGCTGTCGCCTGCATTTTACTGCTTTGTGGAGCGTGGCTCTGGTGGGCGATGGGGCAGCTAATGGGTGTGCGCTGGTGCGTGTGTGCAGATAGCGGAGGAGGCGGGTGCGAGGGTGACGTGCATGGACGGCGGGGACTTCTCTGTCTTTGACCGCTCCGTGCTCATCACCAACGGGCCCCTGCACCACCAGGCAAGCACCCTGCACTGCTGCTGCGCTGCTCCTGCTCCTCGTGTGCACCTATTTTGGCATAATGTAAATATGTCCTCGATTGTCCAAAAGCGTACCGCTTCTTGCTTCCCCATTCTCCGCGTGCGTCCCTCAGATGCTGGCGACCATCGCGCCCACCACCATGGCGCTCATTGCTGACGGCTTCGACTTCTCACATTGGCTCAAGCCAGCGGATTACGAATCCGACGTCTAGCTGCCGCCTTGCCATTCACATGTCTGTTAAGGGTGTGTCATAAGAGTACGTCCGAATGCGGTTGAGTGAGGTGGATTGCGTTTCAAGGAACTCCGTAACATGGTCTGGTGGCGGTAGGGTGTTGGCTGAAAAAGGAACGCTTGGGACACGCCCTTGGGTGTGCACGTGGGTGTGAGCCGCATCTAGGCACATTGGTTCCGCGTGCTCGCTCCAGCAGCGGATGCCATGCCATAGCCCCACGGAAAAGCGAGGGTTTCATTTGCTTCTGTGCGCTGTGCCGCGTTAGGCAAGCCGGCACGTCACATTTTTGTGAACATGAAGCGAACACCAAAGATTTGCGAAAACAATCAGTTTCACGACACTCGTCACAGTGTCGCGGCATCCCGGAAATTACCGTATTCTCCCGGATACAGTACCCGCCGGAATTGAGCTCCCATGGGTGGCTTGAGCGGGTATGGGTGTTTAATTAAACTGGATCTAGTTACCACCCTACTTTTGGGCTTGAAAACAATTGAACACCCCCCACCACTTAAAATCCTTATTTCGACAGGGAACAAAAATTGCCGTGCATAGTTGCGTGCGTAAACGTGAGGGCGAGTGGGGGAAACGAGCTGGTGGTCAACCCGAATGTGTCGGAACGGAAAAAAAAAATGTCGAAACCTCAAAATCCAAATTGTTCATTCTCGACTCTCGCGCCCTTCCGCCAAAACAAACCTCCGCTGCCGCCCACTGATTGGAGGCAGTCAGGACGAGGCCTGCAGTGTTCAAATTATATATTATATAATTTTAAGCTTGGTAGTTGTGCTACTGCATCCTACTGTAGAGGGGATAACTCCCCTTCTTGTACCTCTTTCTCTTCTAGTTGATTCACCTTTTCTCTCGATATTCTCCTCTCCTTCCTCGTAGCTAAACCCCGCCACCTTAGTCATGGCGTCCTAGCTATCCTACCTTAACGACATGGTTTCAGAGCAGGCCGCCCGTCCCGGGCCTGCTCACTACTCTTCCGCTGCGTATTCTCTGTTACTTCGCCGCCTTCGCAACCTTCAGATTGCCTGCCTCCGTGAGGTGGCGAAATTAACAGGGCCATGATCCTCCTGTGTCAGGAGCCTCGTCTCGAGGGCAGAGCGAAGCACATCCAGCTGCGGCACTTCCTCCTGCGTGAGCTGCAGCAGCGTCGCCAGGCCCGCGTAGTACGCTTGGCCTCCGGTGCCAACACAGCTGATATCTTTACGAAGGCGCTTGCGCCTAAAGATCATCAGCGGCACTGTGTACAGCTTGGTCTTGTTCCTGTAGCTTCTCACTTGCTAGGGCTTTGATTGTGTACGAACCTTTTCTATATATATTACCCTGACTGGCCTTGTGGCCTCTCCCAGTGGCTGGACTAGTAGTGCCGCCCTGGTCTTGCTCTTGCCTTGGTTGTTTTCCTTTGACTGGTCTTTAGACCCTTGCCTCAGAAGCTGGACTAGTAGTGCCGCCATGAGCTGCTTCTTCTCCTGTTAGGCACTACCCCTATATAGTCTAGGGGGTGTGTCAAATGTAACTTATATGGTTATTGTAGACTATACTGGATTGTGCCTTAGAGGGTATAACCCCTAGTCTATATATCCCTGTATCCTTCTATTCTACTCAACTACTCATCTTGATATTATGGCCTCAGCTTTTGCCCTCGCCCAAACTCGCTGCCCTCCCCAAATCCCTCCCCCAAATCTCATCCCACACCTCTTAAATCCCTGTACATTCGGGAGCTGCGAAGGTGTACATTCGGCAAAATATGTATCTCAGGCCCTGGTGTACAGTCTCTGGAAGAACATTCGATTGCTGGAGACGTGTCAGCAGGTGGTGTCAGGTCGCGCAAATCTGAGGCGTTAATGACTGACCAACGATGAACAGCCGAGAAACGTCGAAACGATTGCGTTCGATCGTGACCGTCAAAGTGTGTGGATTTTTTGGGGGAACTAGGGGCCCGGGGGAAATTCCGAAATGAACCAATGCTGCTAGAAAAAAACAGTTGTCTCTCCCGTGACTAGTGGCAGAATCTTTGTCATGATTGGCCATTGTATGTAGTGCCCATTGTAAAATACACTGATAACGTCAGCTGTCGAATTTCGAATCGAGCTGAAACAAAATACATTCAAAATGTGAAAGACTTCTCTGCTTGTTCGCCACATCAGCGTTTTTTTTCGTACAGGACCCTAGTAGAAAAGCGAGCTTTGCCTATGCAACACTGATGAATCTGCGATTTTTATTTATGAGGGTGATGGAAACTTTTTTTTTTTATCACGACACTGAGCAATCAGGGTACCGTAAAACCAATCGTGCGGCCTGGCGGGGATGTTTATTTCTGATTTCCCAGACGAAGTGAAAATCGGGCAGCTCACAGCTCGAGGAGGGGAAGTTGAAAGGAGGGGAGGGGGGATTTGAAATCGAGGGGGAAGGGGGAGGGATTTCAAAACCCGAGGGGAGCGGGGAAGCGAAACGGAGGGGGCACGAGGATCAAAACGGAGGTGAGGGGGGGGATCGACATCGAGGGGAATGTCTGCGGGAGGGAGGGGGAATGTCTGTCTGTACACGAGGAGTTAGACAATTTTTGTAGAGGAGGGTGATACTCTGGCTACTAGGACTTAGCCGATTATTTGTGGGTTGTTGCGGGTGTAGGGGGAATGTCTGTACCACAGGACTTAGCCGATATTTGTCGATTTTTGTAGGGTGTGTAGGGGGAATGTCTGTACAATTAGGACCTGGCCATTTTTCTAGGTTGCTGTGTGTGTGGGGGTAATGTTTCTAGAGATTGGGGACTTCGTCGAAATTTCAGGGCTATGAGGCACATGGATGTCGCGTTGCTCCCTGAAAACTCAATATTGGCATAACGCAATCCCTGAAATCCCAAGACCAGGTCGTCTATGTAATGAAGGATGTAGAACGGGGTCTGGACAGCACGAACGAAGAGCCTGGGGTCTGCAGAGGACGGAAAAAACTGCAGGTCAGCAAGGGTAGCACGCAGTGTATCGTGCCACTCACGGGGTGCTTGTCGCAAGCCGTAGACTAGGCGCCGCAGTAGCCACTGGGTCCCAGGAGGGAAGGTACCGGTGAAGCCCTGAGGGCGAATGTGTCAGCTGCCATGAAGAAACGCTGTGGAGAAGTCGAGGGAGTGTAACTCGTAGTCACGCTGTGCTGCTACGTGTAGCAGCGCCCAAAGAGTAGTCATCTTCGGGGTCGGAGCGAAGGTCTGCAAGAAGTCCACCCCCTCACGCTGACTAAAGCCTCTAGCCAGGTAGCGCGCCTTGAACACAGGCGGCTCTCCAGGGGGGCGCTTCGCCTTGAAGAGCCATTGGCCATCGACTACGTTCACCCCAGGTGGGGGAACTGCATTGACGCAGGTGCCGGTGGATCTCCAAGATGCCATCTCCTGCTCCATGGCAGCTATCCACTGAGAGGCCTAGGGTCCCGAGGTCGCCTCAGCGTAGGTGCGAGGGGTCGGGATGTCGAAAGCGTCTGGGTCACCCTCAGGGACTAGCTTTATGGAGCAGAGATGGGGAGCAGCCTCGGAAAGGAAAGCAAGCTCGTACTGACTGTTCTCCAAGACGTCACTGCCGAGGGCAAGAGCATCCCCGACTGACGGAGGACAGGCAGGGTCAGAGACCAGAGCGGTGGCGTAGTCAAGGCGGTGGGTAGAGGCGAAGTCATGGACCGCAGCAACAAGAGCGTCAAGACGCGAAATAGGAACAGATGGGTCGGTAACGAGAGGCTAGGACGCGAGGAACAAGAGGACGAGCTGCACAAATGTAGTCAGACAGAGGGGGAGGCGCGACAACAAGGGTGGACGGAGGGGAGGACGAGACGCGTGGGAACGGAGCAACATAGGGTGAGAGCACGGAACAAGAGAGACAGGACGAGCACGAGGGGGATGGCGGGACCAGACGTGAGACGGAGTTGTCGGGTCAGGAGACACAGGAGGAGAACGCCGGGGGAGACGAGCCGGAGACGAGTCCGGAGGAGGGAACACGGGGCCGTAGACAGGAAGGAGAGCAGACGGTGGAGGAGGCACAGATGCGCGGTCAGGGGACAGAAGGCCGAGCAGGCATAGGGCTGACACCGGCGGCGACTGCTGCTGCGGCGGCACGACGGTAACACCGGGACCGCCAGCTGCTCCACGGCCAACTCCAGAACACTCCACTCTAGCACCCCCAGAACCAGGAACCTCTCCAGCACCAGTACCACCCCTAGGCCTGCCAGTACAAGCCACGACAGGAACCCCAGGACGAGCACCCTCCTCAACGCCAGCACCCCCACGGTCGATGAACCGTTGTTGCTGCGGCTGCGACGACGGCTGCGGCGACGACGCCTGCGGCGGCGGCATCGGCTCCGGCGACGGCTGCTGCGACGATGGAGGAGGAGACACCGCGGGAGGGGCGGGCGGCAAGGACTGCGTTACACGGCCACTAGAGTCAGCAAACTCCTCGACCGGGACAACCGACGGGGAGGGGGTGACGTGCGACATACCAGACGGGGCAGGGCAGGAAGGGGGAGGAGCAGGGGCGACCGGGGGAGGGGGAACAAGGAACAGGGGGGGGTTAACCGGGGGACCATGGTGGGGAAAGCAGTGGTAGAAGGAGACGGACTCGTCAAACGTGACGTCGCGAGAGTGAAAGAAACGGTGAGACGGCGGGTGGTAGAAGTGCCAGTCAGACGAGTCGAGGGGGAAACCTAGGAAGACACAGGGGACGGTGCGGGCAGTGAATTTGTCCATGCCAGAGGCACGAACATGAGCATGGCAGCCCCTGACGTAGAACGCAGACGCGTCACCAGGGGACCCAGTCCAAAGAAGGGTCGGCGAAACCTGCGGCTGCTAGGGGTGCGGCCACAGGTTAAGCTGGTGAGCGGCGTAGCGAACGGCGAACGGCCACAGAAAATGGGGTGCATCGGCATGGATCATGGAGGTACGAGCCACCTCCATGACCAAACCGATGGGTCGCTCAGCGACCCCATTCTGCTGCGGGGAGTCAGGCAGGGTGAACGTCTTGGTGATGCCCTCCACACGTTAGAAACGACGAAGAACGCCGGAGGCAAACTCACCACCACGGTCGGAGTGAAGACGCAAGACAAGGAGACCGCGGTGCATAAGCGCAGAGACCAGCCACGGGATAAGAGCGTCATGCACATCGGCCTTCCGCTCCAGGGGAAAAACCGTGGTGTAGTGCGTGTAGTCGTCGGCAAGCATGAGGAAGTAGCGCTCTCGACGCGGACCATGGACGGGGGCAGGGCCTCAGACGTCCATGTGCAGGGTCTGTAGCGGTGCGGTGGTGGGGGGGAACGAGGAGGAGTGAGGGGCACGGCGGAGCTGACCCTCGACGTAGGGCATGCACGGCGGTGCTGGGGAGGAGGGCAACTCAGTGAACGACTCTGGGAGAC